GCTATTAGTTTTTGCCTAGCATCAACTTATTGAGGTACCAAGAGATGTATAGAACCTGACCTAAGGCAAGCAGCTAGTAGACAGCAAAGTTGAAAGATAAACCCAGGAAGCATGGCATCAGAATTTTTACTTTTTTCTTTCTTTTTTTTTATTTGCATTTCTCTACTGACCAGTGATGATGAGCATTTTTTCATATGTTTGTTGGCCTCACGTATGTCTTATTTTGAAAAATGCCTATGCATATCCTTCGCCCACTTTTGAATCAGGTTGTTTGTTTATTTCTTGTAAATCTGTTTTAGTTCTTTGTAGATTCTGGATATTAGCCCTTTGTCAGATGGGTAGATTGTGAAAATGTGTTCTCATTCTGTTGTTTGCTGGTCACTCTAATGATGGTTTCTTTTGCTGTACAGAAGCTCTGGAGTTTAATTAGATTCCATTGTCTATTTGGCTTCTGTTGCCACTGCTTTTGATGTTTTAGTCATCAAGTCCTTGCCTATGCCTATGTCCTGGATGGTTTTGCCTACGTTTTCTTCTAGGGTTTTTTATGGTGTTAGGTTTTATGTTTAAATCTTTAATCCATCTGGAGTTAATTTTAGTGTAAGGTGTCAGGAAGGGGTCCAGTTTATGCTTTCTGCACATTGCTAGCCAGTTTTCCCAACACCCTGTATAAAACATGGAGTCCTTTCCCCATTGCTTGTTTTTGTCAGGTGTGTCAAAGATCAGATGGTTGTAGATGTGTGGTGTTGCTTCTGGGGAGAATCTTTACTCTCGACAGCTAAAACATACTGACTTTCTAAAGCTCTTTGAGGTTGAGGCTACTGAATTCCCTCATACTCCAGATACTTCTTTTCTGGGGTTGGAGTGTTGGTGTTACCAATTCTAAATCTTTTCAAGGTTTTGTGTTCTAAATCTAGGCTTACTAGGTCTATTCCAAGTGTCCTAGTATTCCACTTTTTTTGAATTGACTGAGTCCACTAATCCTTGTTGCTATGTCTTATTTCTGATTTGTTTTTGTCCTTCAGGGTTTATAACTAAGATATCCTCTTTATTGCCATATTATGGTGGTTTGAGGAGTTTGTGGGGTTAAATGCTTGTGTTTAATCTCCTCCTACTTTGAACTTGAATGGATAGGTTGGTTGAACATTAGAAAATACATTTATTTACCACTTAACATATTAAAGGAAAAAGCATAGGATTGTCTTAATACGCCTACTTGCCTTGGTTTATTCCCTAAGGAGACTTGGCATTTTCTAAAAAGGATGGATCTACATGAGTGTTCTCAGCAGCATTGTTAGTAGGGCCATCATGCTGTAAACCATTCACACAATCATGCACATGTTCACAGGCAGGAAAGGAGGTGGGCAATTTGTCATACAGTCAGTTACATGGTACGTGACTATAGAACAGTAAAATTATTTTCCTGTAGCTCAACATACATCAATATGAGTAAGTCCCAGAGAGATGTTGAATGACAAAATGAAGTATACAGTTGTGTACTGCATAATGACATTTCAGTCAGCGGTTGATGGCACATAGATGGTGGTCCCATAAGATTATAATACTGTATTTTTACTGTACCTTTTCTACGTTTAAATTTGTTTAAGTACCCAAGTACTTGCCATTGTGTTACAGTTGCCTACAGTAGTCAGTACAGTAACATACTAGGAGCAATAGCCTATATCATATAGCCTAGGTGTGTAGTAGCCGCACCATCTGGGTTTGGGTAGATACACTCTCTGATGTTCACATGGTGATGAAATTGCCTGACAGTGCTTTCTCAGAATGTATCTCTTTCTTTAAGTGATACATTAACTGTAGTTTTATTTTTTATAAAGTTAAAAAACAAGTTCAGCAAACAAAACATTGTTCTAAAACTGGAACTCATAGGGGAGCAATGACCAAAAAATAGAGGATTGTAGTTCCCTCATGGGGGAGGAGTAAGTGGGATCTGCTGACAAGGAGCTTTGTTAGTGGCAGTGTTCTGTCACTTTGAGTGGTAGATTAATAAGTGCTGGTGTTATTCTTATGCCTTATGACTTTGAGATATCTAATATGCCCTTTTATTGTGCTAATAAACATAAGACCGTTTTATAGTCTACAGTTCAGTGGTGTCAAGTACATTCACAATGTTGTGCAACTATCACCACCTTCTGAAAAGTTTCAAAATCACCCCAGAAGGAAACCCTGTACCCATGAAGCAGTCACATCTCATTTCCCCCATTCTCTCCAGTCCCCAGCAACCACTCATCAACTTTCTGTCTCTATGGATTTGCCTGTTCTGGATATTTCACATGAATGGAATCATATATATGGCCTTTTGTATCTGGCTGCTTTGATTTACCATAATGTTTTCAAGGTTTTTCTACGATGTAGCATGTTTTAGTACTTCATTCATTTTTTTTTTTTTTTTTTTTTTTGAGACGGAGTTTTGCTCTTGTTGTCCAGGCTGGAGTGCAATGGCGTGATATCGGCTCACTGCAACCTCCGCCTCCTGGGATTAGGCAATTCTCCTGCCTCAGCCTCCCAAGTAGCTGGGATTACAGGCATGCGCCACAATGCCCAGCTAAGTTTTTGTATTTTTAATAGAGACGGGGTTTCACCATGTTGACCAGGATGGTCTCGATCTCTTGACCTTGTGATCCACCCGCCTCGGCCTCCCAAAGTGCTGGGATCATTCATTTTTTTTATGACCAAATCATAGTCCATTGCACAAACATGCCACATTTTGTTTGTCCATTCACATGTTGATGGACATTGGGATTGTTTCTGCCTTTTGGCCATTGTAAACAGGAATGTTATGACTATTTGTGTACAAAATTTTGTTTGAGCACTGGCCTTGTATTCTTTAAGTTTTTAAAAGTATTTGTTTATTTGTGATGAGGTCTTTGTCATCCAGTCTGGAGTGCAGTGGCACGATCTCTGCTCACTGCAGCCTCCCCATCTTGCGATCTCAAGTGATCCTCCTGAATAGCTGGGACTACAGGTGCAAGCCACCATCCCCAGCTAATTGTTTTTGTATTTAATATTTTTGGTAGAGACAGGGTTTCACCATGTTGCCCAGGCTGGTCTTGAACTCCTGAGCTGAGGCAATCCACCAGCGTTGGCCTCCCAAAGTGCTGGGATTAAAAGCATGAGCTACCATGCCCAGCCTTGCTTTCAGTTCTTTTGGGCATAAGTCTGTGAGTGGAATTGCTGGCTGAGTTATATGGTAATTCTATATTTAACTGATTGAGGAACGACCAAACTGTTTTCCACAGTAGCTGCATGTTTTGCATTCCCACCAGCAATGTATAAAAGTTCTGATTTCTCCACATCCTCACCAACACTTTATTTTTTCAGATTACAGCCATCCTAGTAGGTATGAAAGGGCACCTCATGATGGTTGGACTTGCATTTTCGATGGCCAGTGATGTTAAGCATCCTTTCATGTGCTTCTTGGCCATTTGTATATCTTTTTGGAGAAATATCTATTAGATTTAGTTGCCTAGTTGTTTTTTTTATTTTTTTTATTTTTGAGACAGAGTTTCGCTCTTGTTGCCCAGGCTGTAGTGCAGTGATGCAATCTCGGCTCACTGCAACCTCCGCCTTCCGGGTTCAAGCAATTCTCCTGCCTCAGTCTCCTGAGTAGCTGGGAATACAGGCATGTGCCACCACACCTGGCTAATTTTTGTATTTTTAGTAGAGATGGGGTTTCACCATGTTGGTCAGGCTGGTCTTGAACTCCTAACCTGGTGATCTGCCTGCCTTGGCCTCCCAAAGTGCTGAGATTACAGGTGTGAGCTACCACGCCTGGCCTTTTTTTTTTCTTTTTCTGTTTTTTTTTTTTTTTTTTTTTTTTTTTTTTTTGAGATGGAGTCTTGCTCTATTGCCTAGGCTGGAGTGCAATGGCGCAATCTCAGCTTACTGCAACCTCTGTCTCATGGGTTCAAGTGATTCTCCTGCCTTAGCTTCCCGAGTAGCTGGGATTACAGGTGCCTGCCACCACAGCTGACTAAATTTGTATTTTTAGTAGAGATTGGGTTTCACCATGCTGGCCAGGCTGGGCCCATTTTTTAAATGTACAATTTTAAAAGTATTTCACAGCTCAAGTATTTTAAAATGTGTGCATAGCAGATACTTCTTTTCCCTGTGGTAGTAGTAAAGAAGGCTTTTAAATCAAGCATTTGATCAAACTACTATGGAAACAGGTTAAAAGCTCAGAGATCCCTTGGTAGGCACGTAGTTTTAAATTACCCACAGCATTGGCTCTAAGTCAGTATGATAGAGAAATTTATTTGAGTAAGGGGAATAAAGGAAATTACATTTTAAAGAATTTTTGAATATAAACCTAAACCAAAAAAATTGACTTAGAAAAGGTATTTTTTTTAGATAAATGAATTTACCTAATGTTCTTATTTCTTCGTTCACCAAGTATGAATGGGAAATGAAGTACTGGGAGTAGAATCTTAAGATATTTAAATACATTTTTATGTGGTTGATGTCTCCCTGCTTGTTTGCTTTTCTTTCTCTCTCAGTTCTCTTTTTCTCTCTTTCTCTTCTCCCTCCCCCACTTCTTTTCTTTTCCCCTCTGTCCTTCCATCCCTCTCTCCTTCCCTCCCTCCATTTCTTCCTCCCTCTATCCCTCCCTCCCTCCCTCTATCCCTCCCTCCCTCCCTCCCTCCCTCCCTTCCTTCCTTCCTGTCATGCCATGCATTTTCTGTCATATCACGTGTACATCAAGCAATGTAAAAATAACTGTACTGTTGACTTTACTCCATAAATATCTACTTTTCTGTATTTTGGAGACTATAATTTAGTGTTTTATTTCTTGCATTATAAACTTGACAGGATATTTACTTTATATTTTTCAGAAATCTTTATATTAATGGCTGCATGACAATGTGCCTGGTTAAGAAAGGCTTTTCTTGCACAGAGGGGTAACAGAGCTGTGTGCCAGCCTGGTTGTTTTTCCTTGTACCGTTTCATCAATTACTCTGATTTTTTTCTTCATGTCTTCATAGCCTCTTCCCGAGAAGTTTGTGGTAAAAGGTGTTGTGGATCGTTTTTCAGAAGAGTTTGTGGAGACCAGAAGAAAAGCTTTGGATAAATTTCTAAAAAGAATTACGGATCATCCTGTGCTCTCTTTCAATGAACACTTTAATATTTTCCTTACTGCTAAGGTAAGGGCAGAAGTTTACATACTCTTCCCCCAAATTACCATTCTTGGGGTTTGTTCTTAAAAGCTGTTTTGAGCAAGACTTGGTTTCTACACAAAATTTTAACAAATAGCCGAGTGTGATGTTGTACATCAGTAGTCCCAGCTACTTGGGAGACTAAAGCAGAATAGCTTGAGCCCAGGAGTTTGAGGCTTCAGTGAGCTGTGATTGTGCCACTGCACTGCAGCCTGGGTGACAGAGTGAGACCCTATCTCTCCTTTAAAAAATAAAAAAAAAAGGTTGTTTTGATCTTTTGTAAACCACCTTCATGAATGAATGGTTCACTGTAACAGGGCTGTCATAAAATTGGTCTTTTTTTTGGTGCCTCTGTGCATTAGCATTTTTTTTTTTTTTTTTTTTGGTATTAGCAAATCCATATAGGTGGATTCTATGTTAGAATTTAGGAGATCCATCCTCACCCAACCCTGGGCCCCATCCACTTGCAGCTGCAGAGGAAGTTAGAATATTTGCTCTGCCAAAAGCAAAGCTAAGTGTTTCCTTAAACACTCTTCGCAGTATTACTGGGTGAGCCCAGCCTGGCCAACAATGGACATGGAAGAGAAGGAACATATGAGTGTTTGGTGAGGGTGTTCTTCATAAGAGCGCTTTGAGTGATGACTTGCAGCCACATTTACAGACAAGGAGACTCAAGTTCTGCGAGCTTGTCCTTGTTCAGGTGGCGTCACTAGGATTTCAGATTGGGTCTTTGTGGCTACTGAGGCCACATTGTCCCTGGGTATCACACTGCCCGATTGTTATTTACCTGCGACGCTGTTGCTGTCAGGTGGGCATTTGCCACATAAAACATTTGGGTCCTACACAGTTGCCAGATTCTGTGTATTCAGACTCAAGTTAGTTGTTCGCTGACCTTTCTTTCTCTGCACTTCCCTGTTGGCAGAACTGGGCAGAAAACCCGAGGCGCTGTGCTCTCAGGGTCTGCAGAAATGGGGTCACATGCTCAGACACTCCTTCTAGCTTCCTTCCAGTCCCATCTGTTTGGTTTCAGGTATCAGATTCCCCTGTTCAGGCTGTAAGTGACATGTTCCATGTTGGGAAGGGTATTGTGGTCCAGATACTTTCTAGTTTTTCAAGTCTGCAAAATTGAGAAATCTTTACAGGTAACATTAGTTGACGTTAAAGACTTCAGAGAGTGTGCCATTCCTCATTCAATGGAAGCCACATGACAGAGTTCTTTAGTTTTGTTTTATAACCTCAGTTGGCATTGGGCCTTACTGACAACACTCCCAAGTCAGTGTGTCTTTTTCCCAGAGGCTTTCCCTGCCTACAGATTGGACTGGTACACCTTTTAAAAATAAGTATTTTGTGGTAAACTAATCCTCAGGTATAATCCTTTAAACTCATACTCAAAGTACAATACTTCCTCTTCTCCAAAAGTACAGTTCACTTTCTCACCCAAGATCCATTTTCCAGAAAGCACTCAAGTACAGTCATGTTTACTGAACAAAAAAGAAAAGGGAGGGAAAAGCTTGGACCCCTGGTTGTTAGGAATCTGTATGAAGAATAAGTAGGAAAGAGAGAGTGTGTGTGTGAGACAGAGAGAGAGAGAGAGAGAGAGAGAGAGAGAGAGAGAGAGAGAAGGAGATTTATCTGTCTGTGGGCCAAGCAGTTTGAAAATGACTTAAAAAATATAAGGTCCTCTACTGTCTCGATCAAAATCTATCTCCATGTGAGTGAACACAGGAGAGTGGCTTTAAACAGAACAAATTCTAGCCCTAGTTCAGTATCCCTTGCCAAACAAAATGTGCTAAATAGCCTTATCTTTTCTTTTTTCTTTTTTTTTTTTTTAAGACAGTCTTGTTCTGTTGCTCAGGCTGGAGTGCACTGGCGTGAGCTCAGCTCACTGCAACCTCCACCTCCTAGGTTAAAACAATTCTCCTGCCTCAGCCTCCTGAGTAGGTAGGATTACAGGTGCACGCCACCACATCTGGCTAATTTTTGTATTTTTAGTAGAGACAGGGTTTCATCATGTTGGCCAGGCTGGTCTCCAATTCCTGACCTCAAGTGATCCGCCCACCTCGGCCTCCCAACGTGCTGGGATTACAGGCATGAGCCACCACACCCAGCAGCTAAACAGCCTTATCTTTTCTTTAAACATTTTTAAAATTGTGTTAAAATACACATAGCATTTGCCATCCTAACAGTTTCTAAGTATACAGTTCAATAGTGTTAAGTATATTTAAATTGTTATGCAACTCATCTTCAGAACTTTTTCATCTTGCGGATCTGAAACTTTATGCCCATTAAATGGCAGCACCCTATTCCCCCTCTCCAGCTCCCTCATTTTTTCATTTCACATACCTTGAATAACTTGATCTTGTTCTCGGATGACACTTACATGTTCTGCCTTAGGGAATGCAGAGACACTCTTCCTTTTCCTTGTGATAACATGATTTTATCAATAAATTAGAAGTGCCCTTAAGAAGAAGCCAGTAAGGCTGTGCATGGTGGCTCATACCTGTAACAACTAACACTTTGGGAGGCCAAAGGCAGATAGATCACCTGAGCCCAGGAGTTCATGTGCAGCCTGAGCAACATGGTGAGACACCATCTCTATATATTAAAAGAAAAAAGAAGCAGCAGCAGCCAGCAATGCTGGGAGAAATGGGGACACTCAATGGCAACTCTATTCAATTTAATATTTTCATCTTTGGCAGAGTGGGTATGGCAGTCAGATAGATAATACTACATAACTTTATTCAACACGTAAATTAACTTGGTTAACTAGGACACCCATTCAGAGCTCTCCTTGAAGTGGAGCCTGTGCAGTCCAGCGAGTCCATTTGACTGTAGTGGCACTTCTAAAAACGCCGTCTGCAGAGGTGATTCCAAGAACTCTGAGGCTTCAGCTCTAGCCTTGTGAAGGCCTCGTGCCTTTGCAAATGTTTTTTGTCTAGAGTTCAGGAGGTCAGAAGGGGAGGTGGAATCTTTAGGACACTCTCTCAGGCAGCCAGACTCTGAAGGGAAGGAGAGAGGTGGAGAGGAACTAGAGGAGATTGCTGCTGTTTTTAAGATGGGTCAGCCTTGGGTATATTTTACATGCTGAAGGATTAGCAGCTGAAGACACAGACAGATGGGATAATTGGTAGGGCAAGGCCCTTGGTTGGGGGAAGGTGTGGATAGGTGTTCAAGAAAAACTCTGAAACCATGATTTTCCTCTGCTCCCAAACAGCAGCAGTTGTCATCCACACAGAAGACTTCTGTGACCAAATTGCAGGGTCGGGGGTGGGGACCAGGATTTTTCCCAAACACTAAGCAGCAGTTGCCAGCTGGTTGTCCACCAGTTTAATTCCCACATTATTTACCTGGAGATAGCATCAGATCCCACAGGTTGAGGACTCAGTCCCTGAGTCTGAGAGCTTCCAGATCTCAGACATGAAGTTCAAACCTCCAGAGCTTCTGACCAGCCAGCTTCAAGCTGGACTTTCTGTGACCCCTTTTTTGGGTTCCATTAATTTGCTGGAGCAGCTCACAGGACCCAGAGAAACACATTTACCAGTTTATTGTAAAGGATATCACAAAGGATACAGATGAAGAGTTGCATTGGGCAAGGTGTAGGGGAAGGGACATGGAGATTCCATGCCCTCCCTGGGTATACTACCCTTCAGGAAACCCAACATGTTCAGCTCTCCAGAAGTTCTTGGAACCTAGTTCTCTTGGGTTTTTGTGGAAGCTTCATGACAGCAGCATTCCTTTCTCCGGGGTGTGGGGAAAGACCCTGTCTGGAATGAGGGCCTTTTGACCCATAGTCAGAAAGTCTGGGGAAGATTCAAGTCCTGCCTTGGGAGGAGGCAGGAGAAGGTCAGAGAGATTCTGTTTCCTGAGGCTTAACACACCCATCATTATAGTGAAAAACTGGAACAGGCTGGGCGCAGTGGCTCATGCCTGTAATCCCAGCACTCTGAGGTCAGGAGTTCGAGACCAGCCTGACCAACATGGAGAAACCCCCTCTATATTAAAAATACAAAATAAGCTGGACATAGTGGTGCATGCCTGTAATCCTAGTTACTTGGGAGGTTGAAGCAGGAGAACTGCTTGAACCTGGAAGGCGGAGGTTGCAGTGTGCCAAGATTGTGTCATTGCACTCCAGTCTGGGCAACAAGAGCAAAACTCTGTCTCAAAAAAAAAAAAAGACTGGAACAAGGGCTGTGGGGGTTATGAGCCAGGAACCATGGACAAAAACCTACACACACACACACACACACACACACACACGCGTGCGCACACCCATAGAAAAGGGTGGATCAAGAGCAGAAATGAAGGCCTAAAGAAGGAAGCAAATTCACAAGGAGCCTACATTCAGATGCTATAGATAACTTAGCCTGAAATTGTACATCAAATGCAGAGGGGCTGTTAGGCCATGTTAGCCATGAATTCTGCATTCTCTGCTCTGTCTTCTGCATCAGGCCAGGTCACCAGAAAGCCACCTATGTCCTTCCTCTGGGTTCCTTTATCTTTCTCTAGTCATGCCCTTCTAGGTCTGGGAATTAACATTCTGTTTGTATTGTGAGTGGATATGAGGAACAGACACCTGTACTTTCTGTAAAAAACATTTTGGAAGCTACCCTTTCAGGTGACACAGGACAATGTGAAGACGCTATAGATTCCTCTTAGGGGTTGATGATAGGAGGAAGCTTGTTTTATCAGGCAGGCTAATAAGCTTTTTGTTGTTGTTCTTTTTTGAGGTAGAGTCTCACTCAGCTGCCCAGGCTGGAGTGCAGTGACACGATCTTGACTCACTGCAACCTCTGCCTCCTGGGTTCAAGTGATTCTCATGCCTTAGAGCTGTGACTACAGGCATGTGGCATGACACCCAACTAATTTTTTATTTGTATTTTTAGTAGAGACAGGGTTTCACCATGTTGGCCAGGCTGGTCTTGCACTCCTGACCTCAAGTAACCTGCCTACCTCAGCCTCCCAAAGTGCTGGGATTACAGGCATGAGCCACTGTGCCTGGTCTGGTTAATATTCTTTATATTTAGATACAATGGGTTATGAAACTCAGCTTATTTCTAGTTTTGCCTTCAAGAAATTCAGGATTAAAATGTTGCTGTTTACAGCATCCATCCTAGGCCTGAGTTTTCTAGCAGTGTCTTCCTGTCACTGTTTCCTGCTTTCCACCCTTTACTCCCCTTAAATGGCTTTAGTTGGGGTATAAATACATGAGTGCCGGCTCTTGGAACGTCTGCTCTTCAGTTTTGCTCCTAAGGACAACATAGGGTACTTTGCATGGGAGAAACGGATACTTTAAAAAAGTTATGTTAGAGGCCGGGCATGGTGGCTAATGCCTGTAATCCCAGCACTTTGGGAGCCCAAGGCGGTCAGATCACAAGGTCAAGACATTGAGACAGACCATCCTGACCAACATGGTGAAACCCCATCTCTACTAAAAAGACAAAAAATAGCTGGGCATGATGGCATGCACCGTGATCCCAGCTACTCAGGATGCTATAGGCTGAGGCAGGAGAATCGCTTGAACTGGGAGGTGGAGGTTGCAGTGAGCTGAGATCACACCAGTACACTCCAGCCTGGCGACAGAGCCAGACTCTGTCTCAAAAAAAAAAAAAAAATTATAAACAGTGTTGTGTTTAAAGGGCAGTGTGCTTAGGTGAGTGAATTTGATTAAGGACTGGAGTTCAGCTCTGCTGAAAGGGATCCTAGGTGTCAACCTACCGGAACCTGAGTCTGGTGGTTATGACGTCCAGGCTAGGTCCTTGTGTGAATGTGGTTAGGTCCTCTGACTCAGCTCCTTGTTTCCCGAGTCTTCCATTTCCAAACCAAAGCACTTTTAGAAACTGTTTTATTTAGTCCTGCCCGTGTGAGTAAGTGAGTGCTCTGAGTTTGTTCACATATCCTCCTCAGGATCTGAACATCTACAAGAAGCAAGGGATAGCATTGCTGACCAGAATGGGTGAATCAGTCAAGCACGTCACTGGCGGCTACAAGCTGAGGACGCGGCCGCTGGAGTTTGCAGCCATAGGTGATTACTTAGATACGTTTGCACTCAAACTGGGAACCATTGATCGAATAGCCCAACGGATCATCAAAGAAGAAATAGGTGAGCTATCTGTTGAGGTCTGGGTTATTGACAGAAATGGCATTCATGTGTGCTACAGAGAATCAAATTGTAAAATGCTGGAGTGACAGAACTAGGCCATCTTGTGCTTAACAAAGAAATACAAGGAGGGGAGGAGTTAGGTGTGACTGGAATGTCACGTTGCACCCCGTCCTTGTCCTTTGTCCTACTGTGCCGGCCTTGTATTTGCTTTTCCCATGGCCAGCTCTGCCGAGTCACCAGGCATTTCCTTTTACGCTCTCGTAACTTTCGCTTTAAAAGTGGAGATATAGACTCAACTGCCCTTCATCCATAGGGAACAATAATTTAATAGACAAACTTAGATACCTTTTCTGGCAGAAAGATGGTTCAAAATGACAGCACAGTGACCTGTGTTTGCCAAAGTTATGACCCTGATGAATCTTCAGACTTGTAATTGACTCACCCATCCCACCCCGGGTCATTTTAAACCCACCCCTCACGCCTGGGGCAGTTGCCAGGGCCTGTATTGATTCTTTCCTCGTTATTGCCTCCACTTCCTTCCCACCCCTCTCAGAGCCACCTGCTTTGCCACATCCCAGAATGTTGGGATCTTTTGCCTCCTCACATATGTGTGGGGCAGACAGACGTGAACAGTGTAAATGATGGCACTGGCGTGGGAAGCATGTTGAGAAGGATTCCCCAGCAGTTGCCATTCATTGGTCACTGAGCCATGATGACTATGTTCTGTTGTAATAATGACAAGACTCCTGGTGACAAATGATGGGCCAGATTTTCTTACGGGGGTGACAAAAATCGACATTTTTTTTTCTCATTTCTTGTACTTGTTCCTCTCCTTGATCCACTGATGATACCATGTGGGGCCCATAGATTTTTGGAGATAGCTTGGATACCATCCACACCTAAGAATTGTGCGGAGTAAATTCTGATGGGCTCCAAGGTGCTGAGGTGACCGCCGAGTGTGAGAATAAACCTGCCAGTGTAAGATGACATCTTGTATCAAAATGTTTCTTAAAATTCTATTTATCCATTGCGACTGATTTTTTTTTTTTTTTGGTGAGATGGAGTCTCGCTCTGTCACCCAGGCTGGAGTGCAGTGGCACAATTTCGGCTCACTGCAGCCTCCACCTCCCAGGTTCAGATGATTCTCCTGCCTCAGCCTCCTGAGTAGCTGGGATTACAGATGCGTGGCGAATTTTTGTATTTTTAGTAGAGTTGGGGTTCCACCATGTTGGTCAGACTGGTCTTGAACTCCTGATCTTGTGATCTGCCTGCCTCAGCCTCCCAAAGTGCTGGGATTACAAGTGTGAGCCACCGTGCCTGAGCTTTTTAACCTTTAAAAACATCTCCCTAAACCTGTATGAAACTCTGCCCCCATTAACTGCCTGTTAAAATACTGCTTCACAGTATGTGTAGACGAGTGGTTATTTTCAAAGATGTTTGGTGGATGTGGCTGCTACCACTTTTTCCCATAAGGTACTTGAGTGCCCATTATCCAGAGGCATAGCATTCCCATCATGGGATAGAATGGATTGATGTAGCATGAGCTTTCAGAGGTTTCAAGCAATTGTGCTAGAAATGTGTTGTGTTTAAAGAAAAGTGGGAATAGGTGAGTGAATGGCCAAGGAAACACATGTTCATGTAGAGAGCCCTTGGCTGTGGTGATTACTGAGTCAGTAATAGCAGCGAGTGCTACCCAGACAGATTTTCATTGGTTTATCTTCCCTGTTCAGAGTACCTTGTGGAGCTGAGAGAATATGGGCCTGTGTACTCCACGTGGAGTGCCTTGGAGGGTGAGCTGGCTGAACCCCTGGAGGGTGTGTCAGCTTGCATTGGGAACTGCTCTACAGCCTTGGAAGAGCTAACGGATGACATGACAGAAGACTTCCTACCCGTGCTCAGGGAATATATCTTATACTCTGACTCCATGAAGGTAAGCTGGCTTGCTTCTTGGGTACTTGGATACCTTCTTTGTCATAGCAATTAACAGAAAGTAATGGATTGTTGCCTGTTTGCATGTGGTAGAAGTTTCCTTCTTCCTGGGTGAGCAGGATCAGACATGTGGACTGACATCATGGACATATAGATAGAGCACATGGTGAACCAAGTATGTGAATTAAATGAAAAAAAAAGTTTGGGAAGAAATTCTTACTAGTTTCTCCAAAATTTCAAGAAGATATAATGTCTATGAAACAAGAGCAGGATGCAATGGAAAAGTAATAGCTAATTAGAGCTCTTGGAAGTTAAAACATGATTGCTGAAATAAAATGGAGTAATAAAGTTGGAAGGTAAACTTGAAGAAATCTTAAAGTAAGACAAAACAAAAGTCATTGGAAAATAGAACAAAAATGCAAAAGTCCTGAAAATGTGAAAGAGAAGAGACATAGGGGATTAATCCCAAAGGTTCAGCATCTGACTGATAAGAGTTTCTGAGAGAACAGGGAAGACAGGGAAGGAAATTGTCAAAGAAATAATACAAGAAAATCCCCCAAAGCTGAAGACATAAATCATCTGATTAAAAGGACATGCTATTTGCCCAGCAAAATGATTGAAAACATCACCAACCCAAAGCATATTGTGGAATTTTAGAACAAAAGTGATAAGAATTTGAAAGCTTTTTTAAAAAGAGGGAGGGGCAGATTATATATAAAAGGAACAACAGTGAGAATGTCTTTTGTCTAGCAGTGGTGGACAAGAAGAAGAACTCTGAGGACAAATCTCTGGCCCCAAATTCTGTATGCAGAATCAGGGTAGAGTGCAGGGTGAACTGCACCAGTGCCCGCACTAGAAACTCCCCCAGCCTGCACGTAGACTGGTTGGAGAGCATCGCTTCAGGAGACTCCAACGATGGTGGCACTGATTAGAGGAAAGACTCAGTCTTTATGACCGATAAAAAAAGAGACGTGGCTCAGTGTTGAACATTCCCACCTCTAAATAGTGCCCCTCCTACTTCGCAAAGGAGATCTCTGCATGATTAATCTGTCTTTGGGGCAGGTCTGGGGCATCCCATTAGGAAAGACCTGAGTAGGGACTGACCTAAATCTCTGGAGAGAAACCTGTCAGTCAACATTGGGTTGTAAAACTGTAAAAGCAAAAAGATTGTAGATCCATGAAAACATTGTACTGCTTGAGAAGATGAATAAAAAATAACGAATCAACTAGTTATTAAAAACTTAAATTATGACAGAGAACTTTAAGCACATACAGAAGCAGAGAGAATAGTGACAAGCTCCCACATACCCATGCTCCTCATTCCTTCCTGTCCCATCAGGTGTGAAGGTTTTAAGGGTCTTGCTATGTATTAATGTGTGGACAGTGGAAAAGGGAGCTTCTGGTGAATCCCCTTCTCATGTGTGCACTATAAAGTTGCTAATAAAACACTTCAAAAGCAGGATTGAATCTAAATCTCTCAGTGATCAGGGAAATAGTATGGATTTCCTTACCTGTAAGTTGGAAATGATGGTGGTGATAGGATTAAGTCAGATGTGATATCATTAGCATGAGACCACTAGTTGGAAATTGTTGGAACTGAGGCTGAAAACCAAAACTTCTGACTACGAATTTGCAGCTCATTCTCCTGTATCACATTGACTTTCGTTAAAAAAAAATTTGGGATATACACATTGAATTTTTCATCCTATGGCCAAAACAAGTATAGAAAGACATCGTGACTTCCTTAAAATGAACCAGAATATTTCATTTATCAAGTTAATGATATCTGTTCTTTTTTAATTTTTCTCTCTTTTTTTTTTTTGGACACCAAATCTCACTGTTGCCGGGCTGGAGTGCAGTGGTGCGGTCTTGGCTCACTGCAACCTCCACCTCCTGGGTTCAAGTGATTCTCCTGCCTCAGCCTCCTGAGTAGCTGGGATTACAGGCATGTGCCACCACACCAAGCTAATTTTTGTATTTTTAGTAGAGACAGGGTTTTACCATGTTGGCCAGTATGGTCTCAATCTCCTGACCTTGTGATCCACCTGTCTCATCCTCCCAAAGTGTTAGGATTATAGGTGTGAGCCACTGTGCCTGGCCGGTGTCTGTTCTTATAAACAGAAATAAATTTTTACAATCCCTGGAGTGTCCTGGATTGGTCTCTTATGTATACACTCCCTTCATCAAATACTCTCTAACCTTCCAGAGCAAAATTCCAATGGATACACAGCACACAGCACTGAGATACTATAGTATTAATTACTCTGTTCCTGCATGTGGCAAGTATGTTAGTACTTAGTATATATTTGTATTCAAAGCACGATTTTAAAATGTCATATAGCAATGATTTATCTGATATCTTTATTAAAACATTATTACACTGTGAGACATAAGTTTGTGTGAGTAATTTAAGTTATACATCAAAGAAACATTTGTTTGCTCTTTCTTCACCCCATGTGTGGGGCATATGTATTGAGTTTCTTGTTTACTGAGCCTGAAAAACCAGGTCAATCAGCCTGAGAGAATGGGATTGGTTGTACACTGTCTTGCCTGGGGAAGGGCATGGAAAAGAAGTGTGGACTGGCAGTCTCCAAAACCCAAGCTCCATCCCCGATAGTAGCTGAGCTGAGTCCAATTAATAAGAAACAGAGGCACCTGCTCCTCCTCTTACCGCCAGGAAAACATCTCTGCAGAGTGGATGGCAAAGCAAAGACTGTTTCTAGGATTGTTTGGGTCTGTGTGGCCTGGACTAAAGACACCAGGACAATGATAGGTGTCTTAAGCGGCTTCCCCACCTTTTCACACTGCTGCTCTTTAAGAATATTTTCTTCCTCCAGGAGAGTCATATAGTTCCATTTCCAAAATGGCTTTCTGATTTTTGAAACATAAGCAGGGCAGACTTTGCTGGGCAGTATGGAAACTAAGCATGGAGCAGAGGACTTGCCACAGGCCTGGCTGTGGCCTGTTTTTTTTTTTTTTTTTTGAGATGGAGTCTCACTCTGTCATCAAGGCTGGAGTGCAGCAGCATGATCTTGGCTCATTGCATCTTGGCTCATTGCAACCTCTGCCTCCCGGGTTCAAGTGATTCTCCTGCCTCAGCCTGCTGAATAGCTGGGATTACAGGTGCCCATCGCCATGCCTGGCCAATTTTTGTATTTTTAGTAGAGATGGGGTTTCTGCATGTTGGCCAGGCTGATCTTGAACTCCTGACCTCAAGTGATCTGCCCGCCTTGGCCTCCCAAAGTGCTAGGATTACAGATGTGAGCCACCGTGTCCAGCCTGTGGCCCATTCTTCATCAGCTGCTGAATGATCCTCAGAGCTGAGAAAGTCCTGGGTTTGTTTTGGTGAGGAGTTACTTGTGTGGGAGGTTCTGCCAGTCTACCTTCATCATGCCCTGGAGTGAACCAAATGGTGAGTGTTTGTTCTCATCATTTGGAGGCAGTGGCCTGTGCCTTAGGAATTTGAAATGGTAGAGGGCTGGTCCATCGCTGGATGGGAAAATGCCAGGACTCATTGAAGTCCTGTCCTGATGGGGCTGTGGTTGGGGTTTCTCTCTGAGCTTGAAAGGGTCTTTAGGATCATCTGTCTCATTTGCTCATTGTTGACATGAAGAAACAGACCCCTGTGGGTCAATCTTTTTTCTCTTGCATGGCTGCAGGACTACACTCCCTAGTGACCAATCAGCTTGTAGCTGTGGGTTTACTACTTGCCAAGAGGCAGACTTGGTGACTTCAGGCTTTTTAAGCCTGGCGTCCAGTTGTGTTTCTTTCAGGACAATTGTGGCTGGGTACATTCTGTTCCCTTTGGAGGTAGAGAGCTTAGAAAAATAGGGCCATTATCAAGGCAATGTGAGTTTAAGCAGTGAGCAGTGAGAACAGCCTGTACTAGAAAGATGGTTGAAGGCATGTGGCCCAAGGATATGTGTGTAGGCGGAAGAAATGTACCAAAGGTTAGTTACCCTTAAGCCCAGACTCAAGTTAAATACCTTGCAGACATCCACAGGTGAGCCCTTATGTAGGATTTCACAAATTGTGTGTGTAAAATGAAATTAGGGTAGCGATGGGCTCAAAGAGACCCTCTTAAAGTCCTCACCGCTCTTCTGGCAGTGCCGTTTGAGTATTGGCATTGTCATGACTTGATCGAGTGTTGGAGAAGCTTTATTCAGGAAGGTTTGGGCAGGACCATCTTATTTACCATGCTGCCTTATCGGTAGAAGATGGTCAGCAAGTATATAATCAAATCGGACAATTTGGTGAATTTGGAACACTTGCAAATATACAATGATTGCACATTGTACATTTTATTTTTAAGAGGTTTATGTCAATGCACATGCTTATCTCAGGGGTCTTGGTGAACGACTGGGGTGGGTCTGAAGAGTGGGTTGTAAGGGAAAGCCACATGGAGAAGGTGGCTGTGGCTGGAGACTCAGATGACGTGTGGGAGTGAGCTGTGCAAGGGCCAGAAGATGGAACATTTTAGGCCAAGGGGAGCAGCCAGCTCAAAGATCCGAAAGCTGAAGTGAGCTCAGAGTCTTTGCAGATTGGAAAGGCTGGTGTGAATGGAGCCTGCTGAGCAAGGACATAAGTGGTAAGCAGTGAGGTCAAAGACATGTAGGAGCCTGGACCTGCAGTAGCATCTTAAAGACCATCTTAAAGGCTGGTAAGAGTCTGGACTTTATTGTAAGGACTAGAAGGGAAGTCATTTGGCTTTATGCAGGGAGATGACAGCATGTGATTTTTACTTTAAGAAGACACCTAGTGCTGCAGTATGCAGGGAGATGACAGCATGTGATTTTTACTTTAAGAAGACACCTAGTGCTGCAGTATGGAGAACAGATTGTAGAGGATGAGAGTGGTGGTTGAGAAGGCCATTGAGAAGGCTGTCACAGGGAGCCAAGGGCAGAAAGCTAGGTGGTAGAGCCTGGACTGCAGTGGTAGAGACGTGGATAGATTTGGGGTATATTTCAGAGGAAGGCCCAATGGCACTTGCTGCTGTAGTGA